GCGTAGTCACCTCCTCGTGGTGAGACCTGGTAATTGATATCGTTTTACAAATTTTACAGTTTGTAGAACGATATCAAGCTAAGAGCTACGCAACCTACAGTTCAGTTTAGATTTAAATTGAACTGTAGGGCAATTAGTTGATAAGTAAAGTATTAGACCCCCCAGCGGGGCACCGAGGGACAACGAGGGATCTTGCAGGGACATCGTGAGATGCGTGCGCCTTAGTTTTAAGTTGTGTGCGTCTTAACTTTAAGTTGCGTGCGTTTAGTTTTAGTTAATCTCTGTAAATTCAATGTGAACGTGTTCTGTAAAAAGACAGTTTATTGAACTTGGGACGAAATTAGGAATTCCTCATCTTCTCTCTGCTATTGTTACTTTGTTCGTTGCATTAGAGTCGAGTTTCCAAGTTTCGTAGTCAGTGTGCCGAATCGTTAAAAATCGTTAAAAATCTGTTTCACTGAACTTTAAACTATAATTTATTAATTTTTAATGAATTATAACAACAAATAACGCAAGTCAAATAATGCAAGTCAATAAATTTATCTTAACAAACGACTTCGAAATTTCGAAAATGAACGATCTTAAAAAATTAATTTACACCACACAATATAACTTTATACCAAACAATATTTGTGGAAACATTTCTTTGTACCAAGCTTTTATAAAATCAAATTTGCAGAATTTCATTCAGTTTCTGAAGTTATACACTAAAGTAAATAGAAAACGTCAGATTTAATTAAGTTGATGAAAAATATATTTCAATCTTTTTTTCCTAATATCTTTAAACAAATGTAAATAATCAAATATATGGTGAATTTTTCATTTCAATCGCTGTTTCAAATCGTTATATCCTTTCATTGATGAAATATGACAACGTTCAATTTAGTACTAATCATCGTGCTAAACCTGCTTAAATTGGTATAATAGGATGTGACACGAAAATGGTAAAGACCCCGAAATGGTAGGACAAAAGAATATATTATATGCAAGATCTATTCCTATATATCGTCTGTAACATGTCATACGCACTTTCCAGATAAACAAAACAGCACCGTCATTGCTTTGAAACTTGTGTAACGATAATGATATTGACATTCTTTCTAAAACTTAATTTGTATTCCGTGATCACGGTTCTCTGTCTTTATTAGTGGCGACTGTACATTCACTCATCTGTGGTCAACATCAAGGACACAACTGTTTCGCTCAGTTAACGCTTAGTATTCGATGTCTTCTGCGAGACACAACTTGGACGGATAGAATCTCTCCGCAGTGTGTAAATGTGAGAACGTTTTACATCGATATTATTCCGTGAGTTTGTGTAATTATGATTCACTATCGGTTGCATTGCTCGATATCCAGAAAAGTGAATTTCGGAAATGATTGTAATTATGTTATACGTATATATTGATATGTAGAGTTAACGCAGTTAATATATAATTTTACTACAGCTAGGAATTTCAACAGCTGTTGTTTGTATGATTTCTGAAAGGATTCTTTTCTTTGAAAAATCTGACGTAACGCGTAACTACATTAAGATAATATAGTACAGGAAATATACTCAGTCATACATGAATAAATGATTTGACACAGATAAATTCCGAAATGAACAAATTACAAGTTATAAACGGAGATAAGAAGGGATACTGTTTAGTACATTTTGTAAAAATGCAACAAATAAAAATGTCATTTTGTTTCGAAAACAAATTTTGGTAGTACGAATTTATTTAACTAAAATATAATATAAACTTTTAATGAAAAAAAATCAGATATATCAACCAAGCAGTACATATTTATATGAAATAAATAAAGAAATGCATAAAATAATTAGAATAATTTTCAAAAGATCAACTGGTCAGAGTCTATTAACTATTTCTTACTATTAATGAGCAAATTAGCCTAATGTATTGTTATAACAGACTCTATGATGAAATCATCATCAGAAAAAGTTCATCATGTAAAAAGTAAATAAAATAAATAAATATAATAAACAGACAAGATAAATTTGACGTAGATACAATAAATTACTCAGACTCTATTAATATTAATAAATAACAATGTCATTGTCGTTAATGAGCAAATTATGAGACTGTAAATAAATTTTCTAAAACACAATATCATTTTGTCAAGTGTGATTATAGATGATATATTTCATTCGAACAGTATCTGATTACGTTTTGTTATCGATTCGAGAATTTTGATTACTGCTTTTTGCTTTGTAATCTTCTGATTCATCTGACGCGAACATCAAAAACAATCTGCGCTCAACCACCAGAATTCAGTTCACTTCTGACGCTCAAAGAGGCATGAACATTCTAACTCGATTATTTTTAAATATTTAGAATACTTTAATTAGCATCATTCGTTCATTTGAAAACTGCAGAGTACTGCAATTAATATTCAAAGTAAGTAACGAACATCCGAAAAACATAATTTTCTACTAGAAAAATTTGCATCCTGCGAGATGCATTTGATACAACTGCACTGTGTTCAAAAATTATTTAAAAATATTTTCGGTATATACGATATGTAGAACTAGATAGAAAATACGCTTTCTAATAATTCACATAATTTCTTGATAAGATTAAAGAACAACATGATAAGATTAAATTTGCTTTTAATACATACATATCTCAGGTGTAAGATAAAGAATAAATAATAAAATCGACAACAGAAAAAATCCGTAACAGAGAAATCTACGCAATTGAAGTTACATTGCAATAATCACACGATGATTCAGCTTTTCTCGTTCTTGGTACATTCCGTCTCATATTGTAAGTTGAAACTAACCACAGACATACTTGCTTCATTCAACACAAACGAATTTAATAAAACAGATTGAGGATTTTTATGCGAACTCACATTTCTGAGAATACAATTAAAAAAGTAAAATTGACGTTGTTTTGCGTACCAAATATTACGGAAGGAAAGTGAATTCTAAAGTGCATCTCACAAGTGCATAAAAATTCGCAGACTACAACAAAATTATAATAAAATTTTAACAATTTATAATAAAATGCTACGTGTTGTGCGATTCTTCGTTTTAACAAAGTTTCGTGTATTTACGTTTTCTTCTTAACATTTCTCAAAACAACTAACTTTAGACATAGATGAAATATTCTTCAATTAAACAATTTGACTGACATTGACAATATCGAAAATTGTACAATAGTAGAACTTGCATGGAAATAATCAGGCTGAAAGAACGATAGCATACTACTAATTGTAAGTGATTTTTCATTTGTTGAAATTTAATCTGCTAGAACATGGACTACTATCAACTTCTCTTCGCCATTGGCGCCGTAGTGCTGGCGATCTATTATTATCACACTTCGATCTACAGCTATTGGAAGAATCGTGGCATGCCTGGTCCAAAACCAGGCCTGTTTTTTGGAAACTTCTGGAACATTGTCAGCAGAAAATATGCAGTAGCTACAGCTGTGAGAAATTGGTACCATGAATTCAAACATGAACCAGTCTTTGGAATATACGAGGGAAGAACACCACTTCTTGTTATCAACGACCTTGATCTGGTTAAGGACGTTCTCATCAGGGACTTTTCCTCATTCATAGACCGAGGATTTGTAGTTAATGAAAAGGTATTTCCGCACAATAATGAAGTCACGATGTAATTTTGATATTTAGAATACACTGCGTGATTCGTTTCTTTATTATTTGTTGACCAAAATTTGGAAAACATAATTATAGATATTATTGTATGTGAAATTCCACTCCAATTGAGAGACGATTAGTTGAACTGGTTCGTGAGATTGTTTTGCTTGTTTTGAAAAGAAAACTAAATACTAAATTAAACTAATATGAATTGTTAGATTATTAATAATAAATAATATTTACACTTTTTTGCATTAATATTCGGATATCTAAATGTTCGGATATTAAATATTTAAACTCTCGCAAATTCGTAAAACAAAATCATTATACAATCATATACTGAGTTCTTTTTAGAAGGTTGAAAGTACCTTCTAAACTTTGAAAGTACATCATCTAAGATGGTTTGACATGACGTTGCGAGCGAAAAATGTCACAGTACAGTAAAAACATTGAACAATTTTTCTCGTTACTGAATCTATGTAATAATTCTAACGAGTTCTAAAGTCTAGATTCTAAGACTGAAGTCTTCCGTTTCTCAGTACGTCACGAAAGTATGGGAGCATTTCTAAAAGTTTGAGAATTATTAAATAATTAAATAATTAAATAATTATTAAATAATTAAATGACAACATTTGAAATCGAAAATTTTTTATTTAGG